GAGATACTATTCTATGCGACATTTCCACGAGTACTCCTCGCCCCATCGTGCCTAAAAGTTATCGCCGTAACGTCTTCAATACGTTGCATGGCTTATCTCACCCAGGTATTCGAACTACTGTCAAGCTCGTAACTAGTCGGTTTTGTTGGCCTGGCATTAATAAAGAAGTAAGGGAATGGGCACACACGTGCTTAGCTTGTCAAAAGTGCAAGGTGATAAGACACACCAAAAGCCCACTTGGCACCTTTCTTCTCCCTGACGCTCGTTTCGAACACGTCCATATAGATTTGGTTGGACCCCTTCCTGAATCACATGGATATACCTATATTTTAACTTGCATCGATCGATTCACACGATGGCCGGAAGCAGTACCCATCAAGGATGTATCTGCTGAAACAGTCGCACGCGTCTTCGTAGAAAGATGGATCGCTAACTTTGGATGCCCATCTTCCATAACAACTGATCGCGGGCGGCAATTCGAAAGTGGCTTATTCTTCGCCCTGACTAAAATCATAGGTTGCATGCGATTTCGAACAACAGCCTACCATCCTCAAGCTAATGGTATGGTAGAACGTCTACACAGACAGCTGAAAGCTGGTCTGTCAGCTGCAAACAACACCCATTGGACTGAATCCCTTCCGTTAGTTCTCCTAGGGATACGAAACGCCTTGAAAACCGATGCTGGTTGTACTAGCGCCGAGCTAGTATATGGCACGACACTGCGACTGCCTGGTGAATTTGTTTCTCCCTCGAGCTTCCCACCAGTGGTAGATCACGCTTCATACGTCAGCAGGCTTACAAACGCAATGCGTTCAGTTAAACCTGCTCCCCTTCGTCCACAGTCCATTGATGTTTTCGTTCATCCGTGTTTGAAAACTTCTTCACATGTATTTGTTCGTCGCGACTCTGTGCGCAGACCCCTGGAACCCCCATACGACGGACCTTATAAGGTAATTAAACGTTCTGATAAATTCTTTGTCTTGGACAAAAACGGCCGCGAGGACACCGTCAGCATTGACCGTCTGAAACCGGCTTACTTGGAGGGTAATCCTATTAGCATAGAGCTCAACGTACCCCAAAATCCACAAGTAACAGAAGATCGTTTAGACATCGATGAAGTCACTAGCACAGCGACAGCTACCGAACCTTCTATCGAGCCTCCCAAGAAAACCCGTTCTGGACGCACCGTAAGGTTCCCAGAATATCTGCACACTTATTTGACTTAACGAAGTCGTGTGATTCACGCAACTCATTCGTTTGTGGTACTGACTATTTTTTTTGACGTATCAATTTTTTTTATATACAGTACCACCGAACACAAAAAATTTTTTTCAACAGTTCATGTAACATATACAAAAAAAATTAATTAGATGTTTTTTTTCGATGTTCTGAACTTAGCATTATTTTACTGTATAGTAAATGCACACAATTTTTTTAACCAAAAAGCTCATTTCGTACATTTTCCTCGACATGGTTCTTAGCGTTCTTGTTTTCTTTTCCAGGTGCGACGGGCACTGGACAGGAAACAAACGAAGCACGGAATCCAACGAACAACTCCAAGGAAGCTATGTACAAACACCCTATTAGCATAGGCAGACAAACCAGTAGGCATACGACCAAGCCGCTCGGAAGATTTTTTCACCCGAAAGGGAACCATCGAGTTTTTTTACTTCCGGCTGGTTCTGTCTTAGGGTCCTCACGACCCCACTAGGGGGGGAGTGAGCTGTAGCGGTAAATAATTCCCCAAAATTATTGACCACAGCAATCACTCATTGGATGCTGACCACCACTGTTTAAGTCGACTTGTTTAGCTGAAGGCTTCCGGTCAAGCATCCCCGCCATTTGGTATCCCGTCGTGTCACGTGCACGATCACTAGCTAGCTAAGCGTTCGTCTGACGGCTTGTTTTGGTCCCAAAATATATTACGAAGTTTGGACGATCAATTATTGGCTTTTGCTTTGTCTTTGGTACGCGAGAATAAATTAATTAGAAGTTGCTGAACGAGATATCCGTCAACCGTTTAAACAATAAAAAATCACAATATTACTTCTGACGGTTTTGTACTTGTTTTCTGAACAGCGATCGATGAGACGATGACTGGTGTATTGATGCCTCCGCGAAAATTGGGGAAGTTGGTTTTGAGCAAAAAACCACGAATTGACCGTTCAATCTTCAACTACATTGACATGTGATGTGTCATATCAATTGGTGTTTTTGGATTCCCTGTGTTTACTCGTTGTTTTTGTGACTTGTTGTATTGCGAGATTTTGTTTGATCACAGGGGTAATTGATAGTGAATAGATAAGAGGATGTGCGAAGAGTGTCATGAGGTGCTGCTATGGTCACGTTGCGTTCTGCAAGAGTCATTCCAGTAAGTGGCGATTGTGTTGCAAGATGTCAAGAGGATACCTCTAATTCGAAGGTGTAGGTCGTCATTGTTGCGTGGGATTGTGCTGTGGGTATGCTTGTGGTGTGTTGGCTTTTCTGTTTGTTTTCCATTTCAGCTCTGTCCGTGTGACCCAGGTTCTCGCAATGGCATCTAAGTCAACATGTTTTGGTCGTGATGGAAAAAAGGATGGATCCCCTTTTTGCCGGGGAGTGTCAATGTAGTTGAAGATTGAACGGTCAATTCGTGGTTTTTTGCTCAAAACCAACTTCCCCAATTTTCGCGGAGGCATCAATACACCAGTCATCGTCTCATCGATCGCTGTTCAGAAAACAAGTACAAAACCGTCAGAAGTAATATTGTGATTGATTATTGTAATATTTGTTCATAGACCTTAGTTGTAAAGCTTAGTTATATATTGGCTATATGTTGGTGTTAGAATAAAGAATTCTCGAGTCGCCAATCTGTGTTCTGGTTTTTGTGTCCATTAGTACTAAGCGTTTCTGAGAAGCTTCGAGGAACAGCGTGAGTCCCAGCGTAGCAAGATCTGGGCATTATCGATTTACGCGACGTGGCTAACGTGGGCTGTATCGGACCTTGCCTAATTTTTCGCTGAAATTTTTATTTGGTAATGGATTTCAGATATTTCAGACAATTCACGAGTTCGTTACGTCATTTTGTCATTGGGAAGAAAATAATTTTTTTAATGGAAAATGTGGACTCCATGATATTGAGACATATATGTGTAGCATGATACATTGCAAATGAACGTTGTCAGCCTATGGTTAATTACCTTACCATTCTGTTTCCTATATAAATGCATTTTTTAATGATATATTGCATTTATTTATTTGATTACACTTTAATGATTCAGCTAAGCGCTTTTTTTTAAAAAACAGCTTTTAATTCCTTGTAAACGTTGTACTTACCTCAATATTGGTTGGTTACCATATGCCTATATCCACGGGATGAAGACGAAGCGAAGTCGATTTTCCCGCGAAACCTGGAGGACAAACTCACAACTCAATAACCATACGGTCTGGTTCAGAAAATTAGTGTATTTATATACATCAAATATTTAGCTGTTGAAACATTATTAAGTTGCAGACAATCTACGATTTGAGACTATATCATACTTGGTCGTGCCTGTAAAAATGGCATGCATTTTCATGTAAATTTATATGTTTATATGAAATATAAAATGTTATTATTAAGACTATGTTAACAGAAGTAAAACACCTCATAACTTCAGAAATGTCAAAAAGAGTTTCTCAAATCGCTCTGTGAAGTCAGGTGTGTTTGACAGTAGTCACACACCCTTGGTAATTTTGGCGTTCAGATGTCATTTGTCATTGTCGGGTTGCCAACCGTTTCTATTTTTATATGGTAGTGTAGGGGATCAAAGAAGTTAGCCAACTGAATTGAGCCTCATCAATTTCAACGTCAAAGATCAATTCGCTTATCCATGCCGATCGGAACACATGATGAAGAATATAATTTTCAAGGGACAAGAGCCCGGGAACTTCTTTGTGGTGTGATTATCTAATTGTGCTCTCTCTCCAAATAATCGTTAACAAATATATATTTCTGCAGCAGTATGTGTTACATTCTACCTTCTGTAGTTGCTGCGGTGTCAAGGGCAGTCTGGCCACCATGCTAGGTGGGCCACGTCAGAAAATCAGTAGGTAATATGGCCTAGGGATAGCAGGATTGATAGCGACACTTGAATCTTTAGCGTTATATCAGGCCGAAACCAAATGTATTATTTGTTTCCTCGAAGGTTATCAATCCCGCAAATACCAAAAATACTATGGTTGGAACCCAAATTAGTTCCCAGTATACAGAATGTCAGTTCAAACAAGGTATGTCCAGTGAAGCAAAAGTAACCCAATCAAGGCAAAATGCAAAATGATAAATGAGATGCAACTTTAGTGTTCAAAGGTGAAATATTACACGTTGGAAATATCAGACCTCCTCTCATTGAAACTGTGTCAGACGATAACAGTTCAGCGTTAACCAACACTGAATCGTGTTCCGTCTGTAACATTCACTTAAGTGGGTAGAACAAGCCGATGAATATTGAAGATTACCTGTAAACCACTAGCACAGGTAAATGATTAGACATATCCCAACAGACTTTGCGACAAAGACCGAGTGAAGCTTTCAGTATTTTATAAACTTTATGATCCGCCTTTTACGCAAATTAAATGTGATTTGTGCTCAGTGAGCTATATTTTATATCTGAGAGTATTCAATAAACTGAGGTATCAAACACTGGGCTTGACTAGGAGTTACACATCATGCACTCAAAAATCAGAGTGACTTCAACGCTTCTGCACCAGAAGAAATCAAAACCACTGAGTTTTTGAGTGAAACGTCACTACATCCAACGAGGCTGTATTGGTTGATTCATTATCACGCAGTGCAGAAATTAATCTCACACCTCAGAGATAGTGTTAGAATGTATATACAAAATAATTTTAAAAACAAAGTCACTTATAAGGCGATTATCCAGTTTAAATTAGAATTTAAAAGATAGACTGGATTTTTTCATTGATTGCTGAAGAATGAAAATATTAGTTCAGTCACGGTGCCTTGAGGGTCACCAATCCCTCAAGGTCATATCTGAGTACGGACTTAATTTTTATGGCGGACGAGGTATTTTATGGTGAATTAGCCATTTTAGGGTGAGTGGTTTACATAAATCTCCTGATATTTCTAACTGTATTAATCTTGTGTGGCTGTCACCTTGATTCTTTGATAGACTTGTGAGATCTACAACTTCAGTGTATCAAATTTAAGTCAAATAGGTTACTACTAAAGATTGTAGTTTAGTGCATCATTTCTTGAGATGTGTGTACGTACATAACATAGTGTTGCTTCTCGTGACTTTATTGTACAAATGCACTTGCTCACATGGAAATTACACCGGAGGTGAAACAGCGTAAAACTACTCAAGTAATAAGTTTTGGGCCGAATTTAAGGGTTTTTCAATTGTTTTTTGGGGCTGGGGATGATGCCTTTCTCAAAAAGTTTTTGAAAAGTTTTGCGTTGATTTGCCTCGAAACTGTCCTAATTTTTGATGTGGTTAACATCCAGTCATTTGAAGTTACATTTCCTATACAAACTGGTGGACGAAAATATACTTTCTAATTTTGGTTTCGTACACCCGCGTGCTTAAAAAGTTAGGAGTTATTCTCCATGCCATCTGACCATATGCGTAAATATGTGTAGTAACAACTCTGCATATATGCAACCACTGGTTCTCCACCCTTTGGGGCTATTGTTTGCATATTTTTGTTAGACCTAGGGGCTGGTATTCTGTGGCAGCATGTACAAAAGCAGGGTTATATTTAAGTTATGTGAATGATATTCTTATCGTCTGCGAAAGTAGGTTAGTTAAGGAAGACTTATGGGTGTAATTCGACCGGTGCCATCCGAATCGTAACTTCACAATGGAACACGAAGAAAATGAAATCATCGATTTCTTAGGTGTTTCTCCGTTAAAAAGAATTAATAACACAGTAGAGGGATCCATATTTAAAATTTTTAATGGGAGAGACAGTGCATGCATTTTAAAAGCTTTGTTCCCATATATCATAAAGCAGCTTAGAACATTGTTCGTTAGAGTACGTGAAATTTGTCCTGACAGTACAATCGAATATGAAACGAAGATTCGGAAGTGTATTTTATTTATGAATGGATATCCTGAAGTGTTTATCAACGAATATTCTAGAAAAATAATTCCCAGTAAAACTATCCAAACCAAATCAATGGCTGGAGACAGTAGGTGACATGGCACAAAACCGTTGTCAATGACAGCACAGATGTATTCAGTCTCCGTAATCTTTCATATTCCTTTCTACCATTACCCATTCTGTTTCACTCTTATACTTGTCAAACTCTATTGATTCTCTTCACTCATCTTCTTGTCTACCTTTGTGTGCTATTTGGGACGTGGCAACTCGAACTGCTGCACTTCGGTGCCAACTTGTATGTTAAATGCAGACAGAGATAGATCTAAACTACTTCAACGAAAGCTGTACATAGTAATTCATCACATAAAGGAGATGACGTAGAAGAAGTGGTTAAACAAAGACTGGATGTCTATTACGAGAAGTTATTATGCAGCTAAGTTCTTGTTGCTTAACACCAGTGCCTTGAAAATCTGGGAGTTTGTAGAAGCAAATATAAATGTTGTACGGGTGATTGTCTACTAGCATGACGGAGCAATTCCCTAAGTGGTTGAAAAAACTGAAGATAGAGCACTAAAAGTCTCAATAACAAAGCATTTTGTAAACCACAGACGTCATATTCGTGCTGTCAAGTCATTCATTGTTGTCAACGGACAAACAAACAGCAAAATGTTTCATTTGCAGAGGCTTGTGCGGTGTGTGTAAACGTGTTCTTTGTGTACAGAAAGAAATGGTGGTCATTCTGAATATATCGCAGTAATTTGTCTTACTTCCTGAGCGTTATTATTAATACTAACATTTTCTTCGATCTATTATTATAATTCTTGATTCATTTGAAAATATATTTTGTCAGTGCCATTATCTTACCTGGTTTGATGTAATATTTACTACCATTATTATCATTATTATCCAGTTTACAATTTTTCACGTATTCAAGTTCTATCTCTGATAACTAATTGTTTAAACTATGTAACAAGAACGTAATGCCTTATCGTCTGAATTTTAATGTCCTATCCCCTTTCCTGTTATCTATCTGAACACGACATAAAAAACATTGACACTTGTCATTTTGCCGACAACTGCTAACTGGTCGTGGTAGTCGGACCTGAATACCGCAGTGACCCAACAACCTAAACTGGCTGGGACTCATGTCCCTGCAGGTCCTACCATGTCAGGAAGGTTGTTTGGATAGCCATTAGACCAAAAGCAGTTCACATGGGGTGCATGGGCTCCAGAATCCAATCCGATCAAATGGCGTATGAACCTGTATTGGTCACCAGCAACCGTGAGAACGTAGCTCCTGACACTGCTCCGCTGTTATGCATATTAGATTTCAAGTCCGTTAAGAAAACCACCTGCTTAGGTTTGGGCGCCCGAGCAGTATCTCACTCCTCACACAGTTAACGGAATGAAACAACAAACTTGTCAGCTCTCGAATAGTGATGCTTCAAGTGATGCATCTCTTTCCAACTTTACCCTTTTTTTTATACATAGACTTATGTGTTTTACTTTTGCTATCATTGACGTCTTCAATTTCGTCACCTTTCGCCTTTGTCTGAATTCCCAGTATGTCTGTGTCGTTTCTGAATGTTAATGAGCAGGCTTCAAAATAGTTATCTCCAATGCAACACCTAACACAGATATCCTGAAACCGCGTGTCGCGTTCACGCTTGCCACCTACAACGTTCGGACACTGATGCAAATCGAACAACAGGCAGGTTTGGTAAGAACACGGGAAAGCCTCGCTATCGATTTCTGAGCTAAAGTCGAAGCTGCATGACTCAACTGGATTCCCATTGACAGTCGTTTATGTGCTGTGAGGATGGAAGGTTATACGAAAGTAAGGAGTGGTAGACCAGATAGGCGGTGACTGTATGTTATCTCTACCTATGCACTGACGGATCGCAGCGCGGAAGCAATTAAGGATGAGTTCTACTAACAACTGATGCATAGACGACTGGCGCTCCTTCTAAAGCACATGCATGGACTCCGATCATGCGTTAGTGTGTTCCAGGTTTGTCTTGCGATTTGGTGGGGTTCATAAACGGTGTCATCTAAATGTTGATGTGAGCGAACTGGTAGCACCTGCTACTTCTTTGAAATACCAGAATGAGTTGCAATGAATGGTGGCCAGAAAAATCCAAAGTAGTATAGATGAAAGATGACAGTTGGCTTCTACTGCAGGGTTCCGCTTGAGGCTTTTAAGAATACTCCGCTAAAAACCACTGGGTTTCTGTGAGTTCCTTGCAACTCCTGGATGAACGCCGGTCCATTCCGGCTGGCAGCGAATACACCAATAAACGAAAGGCGCTAACGCACAAGGTTAGACAGTGTTTACGCAAGGACCGCGAAGCCTATTGGCCAGAACGTGCGTGTGAGATGAAGTCAGACGCTGCATACGGTAACAGTTGGAAGCTGTTCCAGCTCATCCAAGCCACCGGCAGCAAGAAACCAATTGTTAGCGAGACGTTCTGTGAGGCAGATGACACTCCAATTACCAGTCTGAAAAGACGCCTGTAACGCTGATCAGAGCAATTCGAGAAGAAGTTTAGCTGCATACAAGCTCCAGTATCCACTGTCCACCAGATCTAGTGCTCCTTGGTCAGTTAGTACCGCCCCACCAATCGAAGTGGGATTCTGGAAGAAACCCCAAGTACTGAAACGCCATAAGGCACCCGGCACAGACAATCATTCTAAAGATGGTGGCGGGACTCCTGTCATGGTTCTAACTGGATTATTCAGGAAAGTATTTTTTTTTCATTCCTTCACGTTCCTAGTGGAAAGTAAGGCTGGCTTCGATTCGTTGGACAGAACTGTGCTCTGGAACTGTCTGTTGGATAGAGGTGTTCCTGAAAAATTTGTTAACATTGAAAGGCTTATATAGAAACACCTCGGATAGAGTAAGGGCATACAACCAACTATCATCACTGTTCCCGACGAACAGTGGGGTTAGACAGGGTTGCCCAATCTCTCCATTTCTAACTTTGCTATCGATGACATTCTGGAGTCAGCTCTGAAGGATGTGCGTGAAGGTGGTGTAGATCTGATCCCTGGAGATAGACTTTTCGACCTGGAGTATGCAGACGATATTGCCTTACTGTGTGGTAGCATGCAGGCTTCCCAAATCACACTTAATCAATTGGCGATCAGTGTCTGTAAGTATGGGATGCGGTTTGCACCGTCGAAGTGCAAAGTACTGTTACAAGATTTTCAGGAGCCTGTACCTGCACCCACTCTTGCAGGTGAGCCGCTCGACGTTGTGGATAAGTTTGTGTATGTGGGTAGTTGTGTGAGTGCTGGCGGAGGGGTGACGGATGAGATTTCCAACCGTGTCATGAAAGGTAGGGTGAGAAACGTTCAGTTGAATCACCTCTGGCGCCGTCGCGACGTTAGCCTGGCTGTCTAAGGTCGAGTACACAATGCTTCGGTGCGGCTGTCTTGCTCTACGCCTGTGAAACCTGGCTTCTCTGAGTTGAAGATGTACGGCAACTCTGTGTATTCGGCCATCACTGTCTCCGCAGGATTTCTTGTGTTCAATGAGATCACTGTTTGGGCAATTCTTAGGTCCGGTGGAGTGTGTTTGGTCACAGTGTAGATCACTGTTTGTTGAGTGTTGTCATCTGGAAACACCGGCTTCGGTGGCTTGTATATGTGTTGCAAACGTCATCCCAGAGGCTCCCGTACGGTTTCTGTTCTCTGGTCCTTGAAAGGGATGGAAAAGGAGGAGAGGCGGTCAGTCCATGACGTGGCGTTGTGGGATGAAGGATGTTTGTGCTAGATTAGCCTCGGTTGTTGCATCACGACTCCTTGGTTGGGGTCCGACAGATAGGTGGAAACGTTATCGGATATGGCCGAGAATCGTAATCAATGGTGAACGTGTTGCAATTTTCCTCTCTTTTCCCTTTCCGACGATAATTGACTAATGATGTTTGAACTTGTTAAATGTGACTGTTTTCCTTCCAGATGAAGTTCTTTATCTGTTCTCTACTTATATTTTTACTTGTGATGTATGTTTTTTTATCATTATTATTGTGTGGCGCATCTTTCTTGGTGCCATATTGTACCAGGTTTTTTCTGCGTCTAAATAAATAAATAAAAAGAATAATCTATTTACTCATCACTAATATTTCTAACAATATAAATGTTTGTGGAGAGTATTCAACTGGTAATGCCGGAATTTGAATTCATTAAATTCTGCTTTACTAACATTTATTACTTGTTTCAAAAGTCTTATCGCCCAATAAGAAGCACCTCTGAGTAAGGAAACTGTTTACAGGGCTTGCCGGTGGTTCAAGGAAACACTGCTGCCTCATATCCCTTTGTAGGAGTATGATTGCCGTTGGACTACCGTTATAGCGTCAACAACTGCTGCAGTGACCGACTTTAAATTTATCATAATCTAGCCAAACTTTCTGGCAAGTTAAAACCGTAGGATCATTCGTACCATCCAGTGTGGCTGTTATGTTTATTGTCATATCCAAGCCATACCACCAGACCATGGTAGCAGCTTTCATACCAGATATGAATTAACCTGACAATAAAACCTTTCCAACGAATGAATAAAATTTCTAGACATATATCTAATGAAGCATATGTGTAAACCTGACACTTATTCTGTTCTGATTTAGTCTGGTGTAATATTCGGACTTCCCATGTTCCACACGAAGCTTAATGGAATAATAATATTCAGACTGTCGTTGTAACAGTAAAGATTAGTAAAGGTGAATGATTTCTACAACCTAATGGGTTTAGGCTCATTTCGGCTAGCTGTTGCGGAGAGCAAATCTGACTTACAAATAAGTCCTCGTGACAGATGGTTTAAATGTTGAGGTGATATTAGTATATCAAATAGAAATAAATTAAAAAACACGACCATATTTGATATATTTTTAAGTTCTAAAACTTCTTCCAAGCCATAAGTTTTTTTTTCATTTTTAGGTATTTGGTTTAATTTACTTAATTGTGCCATTTTCAGGCTGAATGGTGCTTTAGCGGACTCTGGAAATATCTCTCGACATAAATCTAAGATTTCTCTGTTCAGACGCCCGGAAGCTAATGGAGTTCGACCTGGACCCGTAAACAAAGTTCCAAAAGCTAAAAATTCAGTCGTAAGTCTACAAAAGTATATTTGTTTAACCCTACAAATTATCCAGTCACTACTAAACTGGATAATGTACTCTGGGTGAATTCCGCTTTTTCTGAGACGAACTTCATTTTCAAATTTGTTTTACGACTCAGTCATCTTTACTGGTGCATGTCGTGTCTTATTTTGCGAACGCCTAATTTATCACCTGTTGGATGCAGCTTGGTACGTACCACCAGTATTGAGCGTGAATTACATCTATATTTTTGGCAAAACATGGTTCACTGACATAACTGTAGGACTTAGGCACTATGGTAGAATATAATTTCATATAGACTTATTTGATATAACATACTGATAGAGTATTAATAATGAGATGACTCTTCGAGCACAGTTTATTGCTCATAATCATATAAGTGTTTTACACACCATTATAATTGGTTGTGATTGTTACTCCGCAACTTTTTTTGTTCGTGTATATGACAGTACTCCACTGGATAGAATGGTATTCAAACTCACGACCCGCTAGTGAAAAGTTAGATTTCTTGTCACCAAAAGCTGAAGGTTCCCTCATAAACCTCCGCTGCACCTATTTCAATCTAAACAACTGGGTTGTGCCACAAGCTTTCATTACTTGAAAATAACCTGTACTGATTAATCTTATCTCATCGAAACACTATTCATCTTCAAGTGTCGGCTTGTAGGGATTTGATTGGTTTCAGGATTTCATCATGAGCTGACATTAGTTAGAGAACCATTGGAAAACCTGGGAGTACTGGACAGCTGTTTCGTCCTAGTTTGGGACTGTTCATCAGTACGCACCCACACCACGAGGTTCGAACCCAGGACCTTCCGGTTACAGGGAGAGCTCGTATACCATTAAGCCACTGGGACCCGACCCAATGGTCCTTGAATTCTAACTTCTGCCAATTCACGACATAGCGCGACCGCTAGCCAATGTCTTCGGCGAGTATTTGTCCTCACACCCGACCCGCTGCACCCTACTGGTCACGACTTCCCACTGGAACCCAGGTAACTACCTACCTGAATAGGGCCAGTCACCAGTGAGCATCTCATTGATATTCAAGGATTGGTTTGTAGGGACGAAACAGCTATCCATTACTCCCAGGTTTTCCAGTGGTTCTCTAACTAATGTCAGCTCATGATGAAATCCTGAAACTTTATTCATTTATTTATTACATTGTTGTGTTTATTATTTTATTAGTTACTCTACTAATTTGAAGACATCCCTCACAAAATAGAAACGTCACGATATGGAAATGATATGAAATAGGTGGTTGCTCACTTCTAAGCTTTTTTGTGTTGTGCGTTAAGAAGCGTGTGTCTTGATCCGAAATTTTCTTCATTGCGTATGATATTTTGATGTCGTCTCTGGAAACAAACGAATCTGTGAAATTTTTTGATCATCGCTTCACTTTTCCATAGTAATTTTTGTGTAGGATTCAGTTATTTAGTGGTATGTACGCTAAGCTCTTAGGAATACCTTGAATTTTCTACAGTTCACTTGTTAGTTTATTACTTGAATTCTCAAAAAGATGGAAAAAACTTCTATGCGTCGGTGGCACAGTGGTTAGGAATCTCACCGACCATGCACATCGTCCGAGGTTTGATCCCCTGCCGACGGACACCTGATATCTTTGGTCGGCATGCGAAATTTGGGCTACCGATATCCATGCTGAAAATTCCATACTTGTACCAAAAATACAGTGTGGAATCAATCTGTAATCAAAAATAAAAAAAATAAAAAAAAATACAGAAAGAAGTTCGAATATGTTACTTTGTTGAAGAATAATCAGCACATCTTGAGACTACATCGTAATATAAAATTACATGGTAAAGAAGTCTGAAAATGTTGAATCTGAATGTATTGTTTGCTCCAGCCAGGCAGTTTATCTTTTCCTACGTGGCTGAAATCAAAACTCTAAAACTTAGAGGATTAGTGGTAGGATTTCATCTGACGACTCCTAATTCCTCCAACGTAATCCTGTTTCATCTAACAGTTGTCGTCAAGATCGGTATTGATTAGGCGTGGGTAACACATGTCGTAGTCATCTAAGTCCTCAGCTGCACAGTCTCATCATTGACTTCCCTTACTTAACACTACGCCTAACTGTATTATTGCTGACAGTATTGTACAAACTAACGTGGAAAATCGAACAAATGCATTTATTGTCAAAACTGCTAATCGTTTCATGTATTCTGCCTTTAGCAACCGGGTCCTTCAGCCACAAAGATAGGGTGAATTGTGGTGCGGTACACATGTCCTTTGGTGCATGCTGCGAAAATGACTCAAACTGACAAGTCCTAAACAAGCCTATTCTATATGCGCTGAGATTTCACCACCAACTAGTCCTTTATGACTGATATGACTTCCAGCCGTTCAGTCATTTCACTCATTATTCGTAAACTAAGAGCTTGTGCAGATCAGTCTTATAGCATCATCTTACGTTTGACAGGGGCTAATTGCTTGTCAAACATACCCAGATTTCTGTTCAAGACATTTGGCCAAAGTCGCCTCCATTAATGCGTTTGTGATTACCGTGGGAAGATTTTTCTTCCGTCATAAAATGATTTACGATCTACACTAGTCCTATGGAACTATCTCGTATTTCCATAAATTTAATAGTACCGTCATTATTCTAGTTAATCGGCCGTCCGTGACACCCTTGAAATTTGGGGTAGCTGTCGCAACTTCAAATAAACTTGGAGGACAGATGTCTACATATAACATTCGGGCTGAGATTGCAGCTGCAGGCCAGTCGGTTTGATCTTCAAAGCGTCATGTCTAACGAAACAGGTTTTTTCCATCAAAGTTGTTAAAGTCCTTCCCTTCTCAAAGTTAGTTTCATTTGCTATGATTTTTAGAGCTCATTTAAATAGTTGATGGACTTTACCTATTGCTGATACCTTTTCTATTTCCTCCGTTTTGTTCCCCACTACTTTTTGTAGTCACTACGAGAGCTTCTAGTCAGCTTACGTTTGAGTAATTTCCTCTCCTCATGTTCTGAATCTATTGACATTATTCTCCCTTCAGTTAGAGCTATAAACATCCCAACATTTACTAAATCCGTTGGTTCTCGACAATCTTCAATACCGTTTCTATAACCCACTTTATATGATGTCAAGCTGCATTAAGGTGGATATCTGTTACTCAGATAATTGTTTATTTTAATCCTGAATACAGATTTCATGTTATCAACAAGAAATTGAACACATAAGTACTTTGCAGCTTCTTTTGTCTCTTACATCCGTTTAGTCTCAGGCATACATGCTCACGATCTTTTGAATTGTATTCTGCACGAGTGGCAATCTTCCAGTGATAATTTATTGCTCATATTAGCTTGATTTCGGTGGTCGTCAAGACAGATTTCTCTCCATATGCCTTCGACTTTTCCCGATAACTTCATTGAAGGTGTAATATTTAGCTTCGTCCTTCAACTTCTGAGTATTAGACGAATCATGGTCAAATATCCAGCTTCTTTGAAGGCTTTCGACTTGATCCTGGAGAATCCTTGCACTGATTAGTGGTCTGAAACTACATTTGCTCCTTTTCTTAATGCTATATCCAGTGGTGGCGTCTGCACTTTCTTGAAATTGAGATGAAGTCTATCTGGTTTCTTTTGTGTCCACACGTTGCCTTCTGTGTATCCTTGTGCTTGTATACGATGTATCGACTCTTCTAATCAATAAATTCTCAGAAGTCAGCAGAGTTATCCTTTCTCATTCATTTCATCGAGTGTTCGACACACAACGAGTTCTCTTCCTATGTTGTCTCACCCTAGCCTGGCTTAAATTCATATCACCCACTGGAATTTGGATATAGCCATTTGACTTGGGCTTTGTTTATTACTGTTTTCAGTAGTCCTTGGAAGTAGGTCTTTTTTATACTGGGCCTGCGTTGTTTGTAGGTGGTAGCATTGTATCATTGTAAGTTTCTTTTCTTTTGGTTTGAATTATTTTTGTTATTATTCTTAAGACGTCGTCGATGCTCGTGTTAACATTATGATAGCTACTCACTCAGTGTGTTCTTAATTCTCGCCTGAGTGGCAGCAGTAGACTATTAACTCTCCAGTTTGAGATTCCACTTCTTTTCTATCTCCTCTCATATATTCCTAGCACTTCTATGCCATATCTTCTCATTTCTTCTGTAATATACGTTCTCACACAACTAAGTGAGTGCCAGTAATATTTTATGTTTAGCTTAACTCCTGCAGGTAGAGCACAGTTTTATCTTGCCTAAGATTCGTCTGTCAATAAATAAATAAGTAAATTTTCCTTCACGTTCCCCAGTGGAACATAGGGCTTCAAGCTACTGGCTTGAAGTTTCTGTGGCAGTGTTCATTTTATAGGATGGGGTTGCTAGCCTCATGCCCAACCTTTCCTCTTTACCAGCATTATTTCTGGCTTAGTGAGGTAAAGAACTGCATCGGCCGGGGATCGAACGCCGGACCATGTGCATGGTCGGCGAGCGTCCTAACCACTATACCACCAACGCACAAAATTCGAACCCGCGTCACCCAGTGCTGCAGTCAGAGACGTTACCACTGAGCTATTTGGGCTCATTCGTCTGTCAAGACAGATGTATTATTTCAGTCAGTGTGTAACTTATTTCTTCATAGCACTGGTGTGCAGTTTCTGGGATAGTGTTATTAATTCATAAAGTTAACTTATTTTTCCCCACTGAAAATTCCTAGTAGGAGAGAAGTTTAGGCATAAGCAACTGGTGAAATTCACACGAATAGTGGTAAGTACATGTGGTTCGGGTTCAACTCCCAGCTGACACACTCCTAAATCGTGCCTAGTCCGGAAAAGGGGTGAGGTTGTAAAAAAAGCATCGCTACTGCAACATCAAAACTTAAAGCCTTATATTTCACTCAGAATGCGAAGCAATGAAGATAAACACAGTTGTACATAATATGTAATTAATATTTTATTCTCTGAACTTGGTACTTCCCCTCCGTTGACTGTAGAAGTAGAATGACTGAGATGTTGCATATTTGGAAT